TTTTTTTTTTTTTTTTTTAAAAAGACATCTATGTATTAAAGCTTTATAATTATGTATATCACTATGGTTATCATTTTCACACAGCCACTTTGCATAACCGCTCAGCCAAATGTTGTACATACATGGGTCTGTTGCTCTCAGATTCTCTTATTTTTATACTTTGCCGAGTTCACTGAAAATAAGAGTGGAGTGATGCAGTGTAAATACCGTAAATCCTTGAATTAGCGCCTCCCCTCAAACAAGTGCCTCCTTCGAATAAGCGCCCCTCCTATCAGCCAAAATTTAAAATAAGCGCCTCCCCTCAAATAAGGACCCCCCTCCCCCTGTTTTACGGAAGAGTCTGAGACAACAAAGAATGTATAGGTTTGGTGGTGTCCAATCACAAGCAAGTGATTATCAACTCATTCAGGCACTGCAAATTGACCGTCGGAATGGATTGTAGCAAAGATCTGCTGATTCATTGCCTAAAACCCAACCAACCATGTGCAGCAGGCCTAGACCAGCTAAAGCGATTAAATTACGTGATTCTTCAAGAGAGACAGGACCCTCCTGAGACTGACCACCATTTGGGAAAATTAAATAAGCGTCCCCCTCAATTAAGCCCTCCCCACACCCCGTCTGCTCCTAAATTTGAAATAAGTGCCTCAAGTGCTAATTCGAGGATTTCCGGTAGTAATTCTCCATTCCATGGCTTGTACGTTTTCCAGGATACACCGAAATGCCTTAAGCTGTAAACCAAGTCGTGTTCCACAAATTTCCCACTTCCTGCCCCTCAATCACCATTTAAAAATGATCAGTACTATTGGCATAAAATCAGACTGTTAATCAAAATACAATACCACAAACCTAGAAATTCGGCTATCACTTTAAGGGCCTCGCTTTAAGGGAAAAACAAAAATTATTCGGGTGTGTATAAATTCGTCTTTGTCGGCAATAACGAGTGTTTTATTAAGGGGGGGGGGGAACACACTTTTATTGAAAACAGGAGGGTGAGAATATGGCACGTGAAACAGAAAAAAACAAATGAAAATTCACGGCGGGAGAAAACCCAACATAGGGCATGGTGTGCGAAATTAAAATTGCCTTCACCACATCAGCACGTATCACAGTCGAATATTTACTCTTACAAAGTTGTGATCCTAAATGTAAATAAAAAACAGCTTCCATATTACTTGTACTATTAATGCTAACTGGATGGTGCCGTCGCACTAATGAGTAAAGTTATTGTATGCAAAGTGGTTTAATAGAAACGCTAAATTTTTCTTTCATTATTGTCTTTCAATAACATGTCAGTAGCACATTTTTTCTTGCTTTTATTTTGTCTCTTTGTTGCTCCATTCTGCTAACATGCGGTTTTGAATAACCTCTAAAGACAGTGAAACGTGCTCAATGAGCACAACTCATTTATGATTACATCTCTAAATTAAAACCAACTTGAAACACGCTGCCGGCTTCCATGGCAACGCATCTGGCCGTCACAAATGCAGGCTGTGTTGAATTAATTTGCAGTTGAGCTATTTTCGAAATCCGCTTCAAACGGCGACCAGCGAATAACAAGTTATTGGCAAAAAACCATGCTATGACATTATAGAATGGACGCTTTTGTGCCACGGCGTAAACGTAATGTGTTTGAAGGGGACGAAATCAAACGTCAGCTGGTTGTGGTAAACAGACTGATGGGCGTGGCTTGAAGAGTTTGACACGCGCGACACATCTGCTTGATGCGCGGTAACGCATGAGGCACAATAACCTTCAAATTTGTAATTGCTTCAAATTAGTTCTTAAGGATAGCCAATCACAAGACACTTAGGCGTAACAATGTGCTCGGGTTGAGGGACACAAAACACAAGCATCGAAAAATACGGCTACTGGCAAAATTACGCGCCAAACGGAATCCATTCAAAGTGATTTGCGGCTGGCAAATATGATCGAAGCGGCGCAATGAAAACGCAAAACCTTCGAACGATTCTGCTCACGGTATGCTGTGTGTCGTATCTTTTAGTCGGCGCGGCGATTTTCAGCGCCTTAGAATACGACGAGGACCAAGAGATGCGTAAGAACATGACAATCCTACACAACACGCTGACTAAGAAGTACAACATTAGCGAAGAGGACGTCAAAAAATGGCTTCAATACCTCGACAGCAAAGCGAATATCGACGCTGATTTATACCAGTGGAGCTTCGCAGGGTCGGTGTATTTCGCGACAACGGTCATCACGACCATAGGTAAGTTACAGCGCGTCTGACGCGATGAAATTAGCTTGATTGGATGCGATATGTAAAGGCTCTACAGCAATTAATAGTGCGGTACGGGGGAAGAAGGTCTCTTGAAGTGAGCTCATCTCCTATATGGCTGCAACAGGCACCTGTAATAATACCCGTTGTTGTTCGACATCAAAGCGAACAGACGATTTTCTTAAAAACTTAAAGTCGATCGCTTTCGGAAAGAAACGGCGAAAGGAACACAAACACAGATATTCTAAGCTACGTAGAAAAACTTTTAATTGTAATAAGCGCGCGATGTTGCATACAGATTTTAAAAAAGCACTTCCTTAAACCATTTCCGCGATGTAATGTTTAACTGTGATACATCTAACCGGGGAATTTCCTCTTCCAACTTTGTTTGCCATAATAAACAAAGGCCCGCACGCAATAATTGAAGTGTGTCGTGAACAGTTTAAGTGAGGAATTCCTGTCTCATGATAAAACCCAAAACCTCCTACAAAAAGAAATATTGTACAAGTACACAACCAGATACAATTTCAATCCGCACTAACGCGAAACTCTATCTCTATTTACAGGCTATGGGCACACTGTTCCCAAGACGGACCGTGGAAAGATTTTTTGTATGATTTATGCGGCGGTTGGAATTCCACTCGCGCTAACGATGTTTCAGTCGATCGGCGAACGGTTGAACACGTTTCTGGCGCACATGTTTCGACGAGTCAAGAAAAAGTTAGGGATGAAAAACACCGAAGTGTCAAACACGGCGAATCTTGTGGTACTCTTCGGGTTGTTATCAATGGTTGTCACAGTGTGCTCTGGAGCGTTCATATTCAGTCACTACGAGAAGTGGTCATATTTTAAATCGTTTTACTATTGCTTTATAACAGTCACAACGATTGGATTTGGCGATTACGTGGCCTTGCAAGATAGCAGAGAGCAACGATTTGACGACACTTACGTGGGAATATCTCTCCTTTTTATCTTTTTCGGTCTGACTATTGTAGGCTCAGTAATGAATCAGTTAGCGTTAAGACTATTAACTGCTAGTCAAACCAAAGAACCGGCAGAGAACCTTATTGGCGAAGGGCCGTGCGTGTGCGAGAAGTGTAGCCGACTTGGTACTTCACGGGACTCTATGATTTTCGATCGATATTCTACGGATTATACGACAACACTGCTGAAAAACTTCGAGGAAGAGATCACATTTACAACGTATAAAGGCCTGCATCGGAAGCGCGCTTCAATTTAACGCGACTCCAGTATGCATTACATTCAACACAAGCGGCGAATTTAAGCCGCTCGTCTTAATCAAAACGGTAAGGAGAAGTTTTCATGATACTGGGTATTTTTCGACAATGTAAATAGAAAGCTTTCTCTTAGTTTGGTCTACGGAACACCGCTTATTTCCTCGGTTATCAACCACGAAGCGGCGCAAATGATTTCAGCGATAGTTTAATTGCAGGCTCGTTTATTTACGGTGTAGCAATGAGTTAGTGCCGTTTTGAAGAGCCAGTCTTTAGATGTAAACCGTCCGGGCGTCCTCACAACCGCACATTTAATTGGCAGATATTTGTTGTTTGAAACGGGGTTTTTTCACTCAAAGTCGCTTTCCTTTGGCTCGAAACGAGAGCTAATCACCTCTAAGGCTACGCTAAGCGCCGATAAGATTTAGGATAGTTTTACAAAGTAAAATCAATCAAACAAAGTGATTCGAGCGGGTGATAGCAAAAAAGCCACCTGTTATAGCCCCGTATGAAAGTTTAATTAATAAAATTCATTTGTATGCAGACAAATTTATCTTGTTGTGGAAGAAAAATTTAGAGTGAAAGACTCTACAAGAAAAGCTAACGGATTGTGCTTCCAATCTGCCTGGCTAGCGAGAACGCGATAGTGGGAGGATAAAGACCTTTTAAATACGAAGCAAATTTGTCGAGGAACGCCCGGTCGAAGCGAGTCTCGAGTTAGTTATGTGAATATTTTATGACGCGGGGTTTTCACATGAAACAATTCCTCGTCGAGATGAAATGGATTTTGTAATCATTTTGTACCATGAAAAAAAAAAAAGAAAAAGGAAATAACTGTCGTTTCAATTTCACAAGGAAAAAAAAATCCATTTCTTAATGATTTCTCATTTGTAAGTATATATAAAAAATATCGTTCAACTCACGTTTGTAAAGAATATTTTTTATAGTTTACTAAGAAACGTCCTAGAGTGTTTTTTGACAGAGTAATTGAGGTCCAGACTTTTTCGGATACGAAATCGTTCCTGTATTGTAGGAAGGATCTCTCCTGAAATAAATAGCACTTTATGTATTAACTGCGAACTTTAGAGCGAAGAAAAAAATATGTGAAATTAAAACTTTCTACAAAACAAAGACCAGTCTAGGTTTTGTCTTTATTATTGTTATTATTATGCAGGAAAGGTGCTCAAAATGTAAATACGCCGAGATCCCGCTAAGGTATTCAAATCACCGGGCCAAATAACACAAGTATAATTTTCAATTTAAACTCTAAAATCGACCCGAAGTAGTGTCGCGTGCCGCAATAATAAAACGACAACTGCCTTTCAGAAGCAAAGTTTTAAACCGACGAAAACCTCGCAAATTGTGATCTGATCAAAAAGCCCGAAGGTTCGCAAAATTTACTATCGACTTCGCCTAGCATAACTTCCTTTCTCAAGAAAAAAAATAATACCAGATACGCTTGAAAGCGAACACGTAAAATTCTGTTTTCGCAAAAATATAAATGTATACATATATCTACTTTTTAACATCGAATTTTCGTGTGCCATGGCGTGTTTAACTTCTGCTTTCTGTTTCCTCTTCCACAAACAACTGTTCTAGTTAGTGTTCACCGTCGACGGTGTTAGCCGATTTAATGAAAACGTTAATTACACGTTTTTTGGCGTAAAACGCGTCGCTGTGGTAACTTAAACGAACTTTACTCGAGGCCAAAAGAGAAGCCTCATTTCCGCAGGGGTAAAAAAAAAACCGCGGACATTTTGGGTTTCTTTTTTTTTCTGTAAAAAATAAAAAAGGAATATACGTATATATTTCAAACGGGTTGTATCGATGATATAAAGTCAAGAAAAGTCATAAAGAATTCTAATTTCAAGTGTAACGCTAACATCGCTGATTCATAATACTACGAGGTAAAGAACTTTTCCTAGAGCTGTAAAACAATGCTTCTCTAGATGTTTGGTCTTTGCAAAACAACGACAAGCACTGATGTATTCTTAGGTACATTTTGACAAGGGGGTAAAAAAAACAATTCTGTACAAAGTACTCTCAAGTGACATATTCTCAAAGTCGCCAATTGTACTTTAGCTAGTGCATTCTGGCGTTTTATTTTTCCAAACACTGTATTGTGAACAGTAATATTTACTACATTCCATCATCAATTATTTATCGCTCCGTTTGAAGGAGTTCGGCTTTTTCGATAAAACTCCACCAAGGTGCTAACAGATTCCATTGTACGGGCATTCTTTTGTTTTGTTTTTTATCCAAAATGTACTGTACGTTTTTTTTTCTGAAGTTGTTTTGTTCCGTGCGCCTAAACGACAGTATTTTGGATCGAGGTGTTATGTTTAGGAAGAACGATTTCGAAAGGACACTACACAAAACGAACGTACGAAAACAAACACACACAAAAACGCAGCAATATAAGTTGATAACTGCTAGAAATTTACACAGTGTGGCAGCGAAAAGCGAAAGAATAATTGCCTCAGTAGGCCTAACTCTTGAAGTAGACTTCCAAAGGTCTTAGATTCGCGTTTATAAGTTTTTCAAACCGAGTAATTTTACTTCAAACTTGGCCACCACAACGTTATTTATCACATTGCCACTCAGTAGGGTCTAAACCTGCCGAAAATAAATAAATACCATTGCTATTAATTAGTGCTCTGCCCAGTATTTACACAACTATTCGCTATGTGTCATTATCTAAGACCCCTTGGCATTTTGGATTACAGTAATGTATTGAAAGCCCTTGATTAAGGTAGTCAGCCTGCCAATTCACCAGAACCTCAAATATTAGAATACGCAAGCAGACAAAACGAAATGCGCGATTATCTCCTGTAGAGAACGGGATAAATTTCAATTCAACATCACTTCAACTTTTAACTTTAACACCACACACGAATTCATAAAAATTAAGGCCGCAAAACGTCTTGTAAACATTTTTTTTTCTTGTCCACAATTCTTATGCCAAGAGTAAGCTGTTTTTTGCTTTGTTTTCTCTCTTTTTTTTGTCCAGGGCTGTTCTAGGTGTACGGTTTTCAATACGATTCAGTTCTGTCGCACAAGGGGGCAAATTATTTCAACTATATGCCTGCCGTGCTTGACAAGTGGTCTGGCAGTAAGCCCTGCTGGCCTTGATGAGATGTCGATATTGATCCACATCCCTTGGTATTAAATGAACATGCAAATGTGATTGATTTAATACACGCAATGCAGCTGGCAAACTTGGAGATCGTTCAACCTTACGCGAGTAATTAAGAATTGGTTTCAGACCGGTAAAAAAAAAAATAATAATAACAAAAATGAAGAAAAAGCTGAAAAATAATTTATTTAATAATAATGCCCTTAGTACAATCTAGAAAAAAAAAAACAAAAAAAAACGAAAAACGCAAAGTTTCGATATCGTCATGACATCATTGTCAATTGAAAACTANAAAAAAACAGAACAAAACAAAGCAAAATGAAACAAAAATACAAACTCTTGCCTTATTAGGCATTAATATACGGAGGTTAGAACCCAGGGTACTGAACGCGACTCGCACGAATGCACAGAAACTGTCACTGTTCCTTTTATAGTAGCGTGTAACTTAAATTTAATAAATCACAAAAGTCATGCAACTTATGTTCTCTTGGATTTATGTTACCTTCTACAAAATTGAAACTTAAAAATGGAACTCTAACATTGTCAAAGTTCGCACAGTAAAAACTGCAAAAACAATGTTAAGTCCTCTAAGCTTTTTTGAAATTAACAGTGCTCACATGTTAGGTCACGATCATTATCTTAAATTAGAACAAACAAAAAGAACATTTTAATCATGTGCATAACACCCATTCTGATTAACTGTGATGTCGCTTTGTATGAAATAATAAAGGCAATGACTCATCATCGCATTCTGTTGGCTATATTTCATAGAAGTTTAAGCTGGGGATTCAAACAATTACATAAATCCGAAAAACGCAGGCTACGACTAAGGTCCCGGCTAAACGATCCCAACATTTCAACGCAACATATCGCAACACTGTTGGGCGCAACATGTTGCGTGTGTTTGGCCACCCTGTTGTGACTTGTTGCGACATGTTGGGTGTTTTTGGCACAAATTTGAAAATGGTCAAATTTTTCATGTGACATTTGTGGATGTTGCATGACGTTGTACTCGTTTGGCCAGGTTCGTGCAACAATGTTGCGCCTGGGCATGTGCACTAGTTCGATTTGCAACACCCAAAATGTCGCAACACGACGCAACAGGGTGGCCAAACGCACGTAACATGTTGCGCCCAACAATACTGTGATATGCTGAGTTGCAGTGCTGCGATCGTCTGGCCTGGGCTTGTAAATGCTGGGCCAACAATGTAGCGATATGTTGCGTTGAAATGTTACCATCGTTTGGCCAGGGCTAAGACGCTGTTTTCCTTCAAGAGAGTCACAGTTAATTTTTCTTACTTGCATTACAATAAAATTCAGCGCGGATGTCATACAATTTCGGGGTGGAACTACACAGTAGCCTAAAATTGCCCCACATTCACGGTGAATTAAACAACATCAGCAGCAACACTAACAACAACAGCAAAAACCGTGAAAAGGGCTATTAAGAAACCGAAACACTAGACTAATGTCTTAAGTACTATGTTTCGACTCGAAATTCAGAAGCCGTGACTAGAGATGTTTGCTCGTGTCAGAATAAATATACAAGAAATTTAAACAACAAAAAATTGGATTGCATGAAAACAAAAGACAACGAACAGAGATCATGAAAGCGCCGGGGGCAGAATTGTAGCTGTTGTTACGTGTTTTTTGTAACTACTTTTATCTTTTTGGGGGAGATCTCTTTAGCTTCCAATTCGGAACCCATTTTACACAGCGACAGTTTTGACGTGAAATCCATCGCATTCCCCATTAGCAAAAGGGCGATTGAGTCAGAAGTTGGTGTATTACTGGGCTAATTTCGACTGTTATGAACTCTGTCAGTGGAACAGCTCTGTACAAAGACAGCCTGGCCTTTACAAACTCAGCTGAGTCTATAAATCAACATGGCGACCACGAACAAAGACGTTTTGAATGGGGATAAAAAGGTATATTATTCACCCAAGAATTCGTGTTTATTTAACCAGTCGTGCAATACGCATTCAAATCAGTCGTGGTATAAGTGCTTGCAGAGACATTAAAAATTAAGCAGACTTGAGCGCACGTCGATCAAAAACACATTACTCACAAAAACAATTTACTTGTCTGAAAAGAAAAAAAAATGTTAACTTTGTTCTGACACGACAGAAAACGTCACGCTAAGGCGCCAAGGAACTTAAGAGCAAGACCCATCAATGGGTCACCTCTTATGAAAAACTATTCAAAAGCAAATGAGATGAAATGGTGACGTTATTGATGACGGGTAGAACATGAAATGCGATATTAGCTACTCTATGTCTCTCGTGCATCAACGCATGAACTGTTTTTTGGTTCAAAAAGGCAGCAATTTATGAAATAGCAAGAGAGTGTTGGCCAACATGAATGGCTTGCTGTCAGCCTGGGACGGCAGAGGAAGTTTCGTCGCTTACACGATAACAGGAAATGCTTCTACATACGCAGGCGTGGGTTGTCATGTACATAATGAAGTCACGACATTACGAAATAGCTACGGCCACCTGTAAAACGCAATATGCATCGCTATCAAAGGCAGTCAAAATGCGACATCTTAATGGCAAAACACTACGGCTAAAATAATAATTTGCTCTAAGTAGGGCTTTAACACAAATGCACATGACTTAACGCGAATTTAAAAGCATAAGAAATCATGGCACTTTGTACAAAACTTAGTTGTGAAAATAAGACCCGTAAAAACAAAATCAGGTTTAAACGAGATTCGAACCCACGACCTCTACGTTACCGAAGCAGTGCGCTACCAGGCAACTGGGAGCTCGTAATACGTCTTGTTTCATATATTCACTGACAAATGAATACGAATTTAACACGACCCCACACGAGAGAAAATGGACTCTTGTGTCGTTGAGAGTCGCCACATGAACTCTTTCAACCTATAAAATAAGAACTATTCATTTTTTGTATGCTCTTGTTACGAACATGGAACAGTTTCGTTAACACAGATCTGAAATCCATTGTCAAAGCACAGTTCGTTAAAATTAAGGGCGTACCAGGCAAAGAATTGATGACTACAAGAAAAACGTTATCATAGACAGTAAACGAGTCCAGAGTCAATTGCTAATGATTTTCTCATTCATCTTTCTCTGATTTGTTACTTCGTTCTTGCTTGAAAAATGGGAAAAAAGCAAAACAAACACACAAAAAAACCTCACATACAAAACAGAACAGAACAAACAAAACAATACGTTGAATAGTGTTGATAACCCAAAGAGATTTGTTACAGTCAGCAGGTACGATATGTTTTCACACAAACACTAAACAAGGTTGAAAAAATATCGACAGTGGAGAGAACGCCATATGGCATCGAAATTAATTGGGAATTAAGCCCAGATAGAGTCAGCTCTAGTCTCAGTGATGCTGCAGAGCTAACAACAAACAGCGAAATTTAAAATCTTAAGGTAGATAGTGGAAATTAAAGCCAATTCAAATGATAGAAGCCTATGCACTTTTGCAAATAAGCACAAGGAAGAAGATCTGGCATTATCAGTAAAACAAGATAAAATGCAACACAAGAGAGAAAGATATTGTGTTTGTTTGTTTGTTTGTTGTTCTGGAAAAGATTAACGAGTGTCACATTTTTCGCGATAGAAAAATATAATACAATAAAATCACATTTTTACCGCAAAATGCGATCCATAGTGCATTTAAAACCACACACAATTAAGCAGATCTTTTCTAATTAACGTTTTCTTCGTTTTATCACGAAATTAAAATAAGGCGGTCAGTTTTGTGTCTCATTTTCGCGACGAACTCTTAATTGTCTCAACACCGACGCCATTACAACACGAAATTATAGAAAGATAGTTATTTTACTTTTAAGGCTTCAAAACAAAGTGGAGAAAAGTACACTTTAAATGCAAAATATGGTGTAAACAGGGTAAAAGTTAGGGAGAGCTTTTTATTGGCCACGTCACATAAGACACTTTCTTATGCTCGGAGTATATCTCAAACAGTACCGTATTAAAAGGTTTCATAGTTACAATCAACGGCTAAAAGTAAACAGTGACATCTGCAGCGTAAAGTAATCTAGCGAGTTAAGGGCGTCTTGTCAAAAAATTCCGACACATTTTTCCCAATTTGGCTCCAAGCGAAAGGTTATGTGGCATCTAAATTTAGTTTCAATGGCCAGCTCTTCACGACCTCAGTTATTAAACGATGCTAAGAGTTACATTTAACCCGAATAGTTCGAAACTCGGCACGAATTTCTTTCCTCTGGCTTGAATTACTGCATATGGTGCATCAAGCTTTGTTCTTAACAAGATGACAGACCACAAATTTCAAAAAGAAGATATGGGCAATGATATGATATGGCATATTAGGCAGATGGTAACTAAGAACTAAAACGAAGCTAAGTTTGAAACACAGCTAATTTGCAACCAAAATTCCTAGTCTGTTACCAACTATAAGAACCACATCACATCTGACTCTTTTTTTGGAAAATTACACAAAGAAAATTATAATATCACCAAGAAGAAACTGGAAGTTCAATATTTTTTTTTATGTTTCGTTTTTGTTTTCTTATAAAAGACTACAAGCTTTGACACAAAGATTCACATGGAAGAACACGCAATTAGAAGGAATAAAAGATGAAAAATTTACCTACTGAATTTTTCATGTCTTTTACAAGATACAATAGCGAAAACAAAGCAAACAACATACTACGGAATAAATAAAGGTCTTCTTGACGAGTACCACGAGTTTGGCTAGTCATTACGGACAACTTTATTTGGGCGCCATCAAAACGAATAAGCTATGGCCTCGTTCAGTTCGATCAGCGAGTAGCGCGCCTGCGAGTGTGTTTGGCATGAAATCGAACACGCACGACACGCGCGTAAAAGTCCAAGTCTTCGAAGGCGTCTCAGAAGGGGTGTTCCACGGATGCTCTGATACACAGCGACAGACCAGGAAATAATGGCAGTTGGGCACCATTCTTTTAAAAACACCATGATATGTATACAGATTTACCGTTACTCTTTTTCGATAGCTCTCAACGACTTGGCCACAATCGGTAGGATGTCCTTGGTGCGAAGTCTCCAGTTAGGAATAGCTTTGGAAACTGCGCACCAGTTTTCTCCATGATGAGGCTCGGCCATTACGCATCGTTGCATAACGCCTTCTTGCTGGGCCTGGAGAGGAAAAAACAAAACAAAACAAAAAAAAGCCCATTAAAGATGAGATTAACAAGACTTGTTTAGTCCTATAGCCCTGTTGTTGACATCACAAAACTCCGCCATGATATCCTTAGACGTCGGGACAATCCGAGTGACTCTAAATCTAAAGTCTTCTAAAGTACTCTTGGCTTACCAAATTTCTACAATACGGACGCTTGTATTTGTACTGAAACTCGAAGAAGAAAATAAATGCCAATCACAAGAGACGGACGGGCTGTTAACCGAAGTTTATCCCGGTACTGCCTTCCTCCTTCCCCTTCCCCCGATAGGATGCTAGTTGTTGGAAGGTTGTCCTAACAGTTGGGCGGCATTCATTTATACTCCTGGCTTGGGTAGGGGGGCATTGGGCGAGTTACGATTTCTGAACAAAAATATGACACTACTCTAGCGGAGATAATTTCGAACCGGCACAAATCTTCAGGAAGGTTAAATGCCGTAATACTGCTCATCAACGGAGTGAAAACACTACTGTGAAATTCAAATTTTATGAAAGGCCTTGATCTTTTAGCGTGAGTTTCATCAAGATCAGTACTCAAATTTTCAGCTTTGCATTGAACAACGGAGAGTATTATATTTATTCGAGTAAAGTTCACGTCAAACTAAGCGAGAAATTGTACGGGTTCGGCCCATAGAGCCCTCATGACGTTTACTATGGGGCAATGAAAGATAATTAATGAGAAACCTAATGGCCGACGTCATCTGCTTGAGGTACAGACGTAACTGTAAAGCAGTCATCATTCAAAACTAAAGGGCGCATGACCTTGCCTTCGTGCAATGTGACGTCACAAACAGCGAGATACCATATGAACACGATGCTTAGATTGCAGAAAATTTCAAGATGGCCATTTTCATGAATCTTTACAATGAAGTTTCATTAGCAAACTACGACATCAAAAAACCAAAAAACAAAATATATATATATATTGATCTGAGTCTCAATTCTTTGATTACACGCGTTGTCTACAGCCTTTCCCGCTCTCCTTCAGACCTGGAGCGCTTACTGTTTGATCAAAAATTCCGGTTAGCATTTCTGGGAATTTCTACTGGCAAACAGAAAAACATTTTCACCAATTTGCAAAACAGGACAACCTCGAGAGCTACATTGTACCCAAATTTGCGGGTAATATCCTACCGGCAATTTCTATTCCATTAGATTTTAATCCCGGAATTTTCTGTGAATGGTTCGCATTTGGGAAATGTGAAATTTCTGGGATATTCCAGAAACTTTCCAAGAAAATTTCTGTATCATTTGTTCCCATTAAGAAAATTTCCGGAATTTTTGGTGAAATGGAAAACACCCAATCTAATGTCACGATAATTTTGTCAACTTTAGATCTGATTCTAAAGCGCAGACGAATACCAGAACTGCTGAGCGCTAGTTTTTATCTGTAACTGATGAGAAATTTGAAAACGGAGGTCTCACTCTGAAAACGTATCAAAAGTTTTCCGGAGGAATTTACAAACGCAACAATCACCGGTCATTTTTGATTTGTGTTTGAGGAAAACTAAGACAGGGAAATCACATGATTACCGTGAGGTTATCGTTTTCGCCATGCTCCGTTTTCAAAATGTTTTCCGTCCACACGAAAACGAAAAGCCGGCGTTTTCAAAATCCTCCGGTTTGAAGAGCATTTTCGAAAAGCTCCGTTTTCGTGACGGATTAGTGTGGACGGTAGGCCAAGCCGTGGAAATAAAGCTGTGTTTTCAAAGCTCTCCGACGCAGAGTCGTCAGGGCCTTACACGCTTGTGACAGATCAAATTCAAATCACTTTAATTAAAAGGGCCTCATAAAATACTCAGTTATCAAGAAAAAGACATATCATATCAGTTATGCTGATAATTTACCCCAGAAACATCTCACCACAGGAAAGTGCTAAAAACTTCAACGTTTGTAATCAAAACTCGTTTCTATACCCGATCATGACATAAGTTGTGTATTTATCTTGTTAATAATCTCCGCTGATCTGTCCTCTCTTTTCATGCGAGTCAAATACATAGAATTAAAATTAGGGGGGAATTCTGGCAAGAGGAATGTGATAGGAAGACAGTGGATTTTCAAAACAAATCTTAGTATAAAACAAAGATTTAACGGCTTTTCCCTGGAATAATCCCAGCGGATTGTTCGGCGAATAAATTATTTGATTAATGACGCGCGGTGTTTTAAGGCATAAAACATTAATCATGTCTGAACCGCAATTTGAACATTTAAATGAAAAAAGTAACTTCCTCGAAGTTTTGAGACAGTGTCTGTACAACAATACGGTTCTGAAAAAAGTCTAGATAAATCTTTGCTTTAAGGGGAGAGGGGCAATTTAACTTCGCTCATTTTAACAAGAAGCGGAGTGTATTTATCAAAATTATCAGTTCGCAAGACACAGTTGTCAATATAACGTTGTTGACGTAAGTGGAAGCTATTTGCGCGGTATTTCTTTGAAGTTTTTTTTCAGATTTTGAGCGCAGATGGTGTCGGTATAACGATGGAAAGTTCGCCAGGGTTGTTAATACTTGTTTTGTTTCGGACACTCGTTAGATCTTTGCCGTTAAACCACTTTGGATTCATAGTTAAGCGGTGAGATAAATTAACAGTTCAAATTATTAATGATAAAGCTTTCCACTTGTCGAAACTAAGGAAAAACAAAGATGGAATAAAAAGGTTCTCCTGACATTGTACTTAATTCTCATCCCAAAGATAAATTTGATTGTCGGTTGGAATTTTTCTTAACAAGTTTCAAGTTCTTAACGGGTATAGCTTCCTTGCGACATAACATTTAAAACTAGGTATTTAAAGTTAATTTTGAAACTAACCGCAAAAAAATATTTGCGAAACGAGTGCCGAAAACAATCAAAGAATTCATTTGCAGACTATCAACATACCGCTTCTACATGTACATTGAAAGTACTTGAAAAGATTTCTGTACCCTCAAAGTACAAAATTGCAAGTAACCCGCACACCAAGAGAATAGCTATATTTAAAAGTTTTCAAATATTCCTGCCTCTATTCGCGAGAGGCGGAATGTTCTCTCAATCGATAACAAGTTAGTTCAACTGTAACTGGTCTTAACTACCACGACACAGTGTATATATTTTTTGGCGTGTTTTGTTTTCGTGCCGGAATTGTGGGCGCAAAGCTTGGGCGTGAAGCGTGGGTGTATTACGTGAGTGCCACGCGCGGTTTAACAAGGCTTTACTACCTACTGAGAAGTTGGTTTGTACCCACAAAACAGTCAGACAAGAACTCGGCGAATCCTGCCAAAAACCACTAACAACCAAAGCAAATTGAGAACTCGCTAAAAGGTTTAATTAGTTAATTGTTACCTTAACCGACAGGAGGTAAAGAAATCAAAAGAAGCACTTGTTTTCATTTCCACATTTCAATTTGGCCAACGCTTTTTCGTGCTTGAGTTTCCTGCCAATTTTGCGGAGAAAAAGCGTGGGCGAAAAACGTGGGTGTAATATGAGAATGCAGCGCAGTTATGGTGTGTTGAACCACTGAAGCCTACACTACCCGCCGATACGATTGTTTGTGCCAGCAAAGACATAAGACGAGTCACTTATCCATTCTGTTAGAAACTACTAGCAATAAGCAAAGTAATGAAGTACCAAAGTAAAAAAATCAAAACCACAAAATATCGTTTACTACCTGCTTTTCCATTTTAGTTATCCACTGGCCGACCCGATAAGCTAGTGAATTTGTGGGTAGTGGATGTTGTTGTAAGGGTCTCAAAATATGTGAAAAAATGAATGAATAAATGAATGAAAAGCTGTCTGGAACCCAAAAAGAGTTTAATTCACGAGGAACTTGTTTAATTTTTTTTTTCTGCGATATCTTAGGTCCATTGTACATTCCTCTGTGTTTTATTTTTGTATCCCTTTTGAGGATATAAAGCGTGGGAGCGAAGCATGGGTGTGTTACGTGAGTGCCACGCGTGGTTATGGCTTGCTGAACCGCTAAAATCACCCTGTCTCGTTCGTAGTCATTGTACTAACGCTGTGGTCTAATTTTTAAAACTGAGTTAAATAAGATCTCCTACAGGTAACAGGATGGTGCTGACTCACCACGATGTCGGTTCATACCATCAAATAATATTCATAACTACAGACAAGTCATCGACAATTTTGTCCACAAAAAAAGCCGACATAAGCAAAGTACGTGACTTACAAAGGAAGCGCTTGAAACAATCTACCGCTAATCGTTTGTTGTACAATATTGAATACTTTGACACCTCCCCCCCTCCAAAAAAAAAACTTATTGATCAACTAGAATGTTGCTTCATTTATCACCCTTCCTATGGTGTAAAGTCATTTTTTAAAGCTACAAATTTCGTAACTTCTCTACCAAGGATAGAATTGTGAATGTAAAAAAAAAAAAATATTTTTTTTTTTCACAGTATTTCATGTCGTCTCAAGTTACGTAGCTAATAAATTATGAACTGTATCCTTACAAAAACATTTGGGTTGTTTTGTCTGTGTTCTTGGAATAAATCAGACGAAATTCTGTGAGAGCAATAAAAATAGCTCACGTACGTGCTTAATTAGCAATTTTCATATCAAAAGTATGTCAGATCCTGAGTAATTTTGATCTAGATAAACGTTAAAAATAAATAATCAACTTTGTTCTGGTTTTACTTGTCCTCGAGTAAAGAGAAGAACAGAGGTTGCCATAAGATTGGCATATCAAAGCTTTTTACCGTGCAAACGAAGTTTCTGCAATTATACTTCCTGTTTCGGATTTGTTTTGTTTTGTTTTGTTATTCTTATTATTTTTTAGGAAGTCAATGTAAAACAGAAAAAAGAAAAGAAAACCTACGTAAGTAGTTATCACTTTTTTTTTAGTACAAAGGAAGTTTCTACAATCATCCATCCTGTCCCGTATTACGTCACATCACAAAGATCGCTTTGGGCCTTTGTTTAGTTTTTCAAGGGAAAAAAAATATAACGAAAAATAATAAGAAGAAAAACTAAGTAATTAATTATGAGCTTTTTGTGCTAAGGAAATTTCTACAATTTTAGTTCTTACATCCTATTTAGTATTGAGTACACAACACCTAGTTCGAGGCATCAATAAAATATGTTTGTAGTTTAATAAGCTTCTAATTCGAAAGGAAGTTTCTGGAATAATACATACTGTTAACAACGAGTAAAAAACTGCTTGGATAAAACGTCTTTCAGGAAGTATTAGTTAATTTGACAAAAATAAAAACGTTTTTTGTAACTAATCCAGTTGGAACATGGATCCCTATTTTTTATGTTTTAGTTATTATTTTTTGTTTGAAGGACCTTTCTACAATTGTACATTCTGTGATTAATGGATTCTACGCCAACAATATAGTCTCGGTTCTTTTTTTTTTCCCGAATTTCTCTTTTTCCCCGACAATTGCATTGTGTTCGACGCAGCCGTTATTTGCTTCGTCACGCAACGAGCAACGAACATTGCGTGACAACCCACTGATGGAAACCCAGTCCATACATCAAATCGCGGCAAAGGTTCGATTTTTTTTTTCTTGTCTACGAAGTGGATGCAACCAAAAGAAAAAAAGAATGGACTTTTAGAAGAATTGCTGGGTAACGCCCACGAGTGATTAACGTTCGGTTTCTCCTTACAGTATTACTACAATGTCAACTGGACGGGTGATGAGAAAAAAAAAGAAGATAATGATCTGCTTTTGAAGGGTTACTGTCTTATCGCACAACCAAAGTCTCAAACATTAACACTGAGTGAACAAAGGTACTGCTGGGTTGCGTCGGAGAAAAAGTTTAACACTTAGATATATTTCAACTTGAAATTTAATAAGCGCCCTGGCGAGTAAGTGAAACTAACGTTTCGCGCGTTACCGCTTCGTCAGAACAAAATAATTAACATTAAAGTTAACGAGTTGTTTTCTGGACTATTACGCATTGGCGCTACCATCAGAGGTTGCATTGGTTTTAACCAAGGATATGCAGCTCCCCCTTCCAGTGTTGGTTGTATGAAAAGGCAGTCTTTAGACAGCTTTGGAAGAGTATAGTGTGGTTCAGGCTACGACCAGTTAAGAAAGCTAACTGCAAACATTTGTTCAATGTTGTACTGCTCTTCGGTCTAAGCAAGTAGTTGTTAGATAAACTGTTCGGCGGTGCGTCGGAGGGAACGGGGCTGGCGAAAGGCAACCGCCAGGTTTAAGAAATCTTTCCTAAACAACCCGAAAGGTTTCTGATTCTGAGGTTCAGTTTTCCATGGGAAACAAACTTACCTCGGTTCCATGCTGCAGTTCAAATCTGTAGAAACAAGCCCACGAGTCGCCGAGATCTGGGTCGAGTTTGACAGCCCTAAAGAGAAATACAAGAACGTTTCACAATAGACCATATTCGTATTCTCGGTGTAGGACTGGAACTAGCTTACAACTGAGGCTAATACGGGGAGTCTTTGCAAATGCGGTGTGAACGGCAAAGGAATGAAGAGCCAAACGAGCACAAAGTAAACTATAGTCATGGTGAGATCTTAAGGTTTGGGAACAAAACTGTTTTCAACGTTAACACTCACGAAGTTACATAGGTGCTGTTCAAGCTAACACAGACCATGAACTCATCGCAGTTACCGACTTACCTGTTAAACCATTCTCTTGCTTTGTTTATTTTTCGCTCGCTCCAGAACAACCTGAAGAATATGGAATGCATCAAACAATGAATACCCGATGATTGGTTGAATATCTTTCTCGTTCGTCACGCAATAACCAAAGTGCTTCAAATCTTTGCAGCTTATCACGATTTTTGTAGCATTAAACTAGGAGTATTTGCCTTCTCCCCCGGGGGTGGGATGCTAGTCCACCGCAGGGTCAGGTTACCCCAACAATTCACTAGTACCCATTTTGTGCTGCTGGGTGGAGCACCATTCAGAGACCTTAAACAGTGCTCGAACCCGGAACCTTGATCGTGTCGATGGAGAAGCGAGAGCTAAATTACAACATAATTGGAGTTACCATACAAGAGAGTAAATATATTCAGATTTGTAGAGTGACAACATAACCAGTCTGAAAAGGTCTTTATATATCGTTTTGTGGAGGAACAATAATAATTTGTTCGAGTTTGTATCTAATTCCCCTGTTGTTTTTGCACTCTCTCCGTCGAGGGTCAAGGAACCTGTTGTATTGATGCCTCAGTGGAGTGGGGTCAGAGTAACAACCGAAAAATGGGAAGGGGAGGGTGAGGGCAAGAAGGCGAGTGGATGCCATTTCTAACCTGGCCACTGCTAGAAGCACGTGTGGGTCGTGTTCACATCTTTTGAGGGCGTCCACACTTTTGGTTTTCCGCTGCGGCCGGCTCTCCATAAAAATAGCTTCCGCCCAGAGGATGCCTGAAGCAGGGCATTCTTGCATGGCTGAAAGGAAAGCAAAAATAAACTGTGAGAAACTCTGCTCTTGAGAATTTATTAAGCTTGCGTTTCTTGCCAGAGACGTCGCTAAGTAACAAAGGGCACGTGTAAACAGCGGTCAATCGGAAAAATTCAACATTACTTCCAGATTACGATGCCTGAAATTATCGTACTGTGCAGGTAATTTCAGTAGTGGAAGACAAGGTTTGGAAAATGTTCAGCAGCAAATAAGAATACATGGCTAAAACACTGGAAAACACCAATTTGTAAATTGATATTCTCTATGGTTATTCTACGTACAAAACTCACGTTTTGACGTTTGTCTACTCTTAAAAGAGCATTTTACAAATTTGAGACGTTTTGTTACAGACGTTTTGGCGGGAAATATGTGTTTGACCGCGATGTGGCTGCCAACATTTTCACATTAGAGCTATCAGGATACTCGTAAACTCCTCCGGAAGTGTCAACGGAGACTTTGCGGAAGAAAAAAAAAAAAGCTGCCTCTCAATTACACAAATGTTCTGAGAGGCGGCAGTGGGCCTCCGTTTTCAGGGCCGTCAGCATAAAACCTAAGACCCCAGGTTGTAGTTTTGTACCCTGACTCCAACCGGAGCTGAATTTGTTCTGGATACACAAGAATTCAACGGCCACGTTACTATTTCTCACCGATTGATTAATCTCCCGAGCAATTCAGAATCTCAAAAACGCTAACACAGCAATCTACAATTCACACGTTTACGTGGAACAGTAGGAAACACATCGACGCTTGAATAAAGCTGTTTATTATTTTCTCGTCATTTCTTTATTTTTTCTATGCATCATACCTTTAGCCATTAATGTTTTAGCAAATTCTTTGCGTTCTCCCCTGGTTTCTATTCTAACTGCTTCCAGCCTGAAAAACAAAAAAAAAAGAGTTATTGCACAGACAGCCTGCTTTCTGGAGCATTGGTATAAACCAGTAGCCTTTTATATAGTACAATAAAAGTTGTGATCCTTACCGGACTTTTCAAGGAGTTCGTTTTCAAGAGTTTCGGCCCGGTCAAAACAGTATTGATGACGTAGCTCACAACAGCGTCCCTGAGTGGTCGTTATATGGTATTGAATTTGGCGCGTAAGCAACAACCAATGAAAATGAAGCATGATGACGTATTTGTGTACGGCTTCGTAACCACTATGAGATCGCAAGTCTGACGTCTACACACCGGGGCAAAGAGAGAGCGAGCGAAGGACGCGTTTTGATCATTTTTTTTTAAGAGTCTCCTTCAGTGAAGCTCGCTACACTACGACTGCGTTGAAGAGCGTCATACTCACCATAATTCTGGACATTTGGGGTTTTTCTGTCGCGCCTGTTCCAAAACGGACCTTGCCTTTGTAGTCTGACCTAAAATTTAATAAATTACATTGCTTGTTAGTTTAGTACTCTGAGGACACTTCATTCATTTCCACACGACTCTAATCTAGCACTTTAATTTAACGCAATACAATAAAATTCAATACTGAGAAAAAAAACTGTGAGCTTTAAGGAACAGATAATGTCCTAAAAAAAAATATCCCAGCATATTTTCGAGTCAAATGGAGGCTTTTGTGTTTATCATTCTTCACATTTTTTTCTTTTTTTTCGCAACACGCGCGGTTTTGAAAATTGGGGAATATCCTCGGATATTCCCGTTTTAGCTGGGGCATATTCAGTCACGTGACGGGTTTAGACCAATCGTGCACGACCGAAAATATTTGATGGATTAAAAGTATTTTTAGAGAAAGGGTGTAGAGTGATGTTGTAAATGAATTAGGAAATCTCTTGAAAAGTACATAGAAAATAAACTTACTATAGGTGAAACTACTCACAATAAACAGTGAGTTATAACGAATCGTGGCGACTTGAAACTGGAATGTCCAAGTGTCTCAAACCTACAGTTTTCTTTACATACCTGCTTTCTCTTCAAGCCTGGCTAACAACAGCCAGATTGGAATAGAGCGAGGGCACTTTTTAGTCTACGAGAGAAAGCGAACCGAGTTGGTTATGAAATAGAATATGAGCGATCTTCACAAATTGTCTCACCGATTATCTAAACACTAAAATGTCTTTTCAAAGATCTGTAACCTGACATTTTGACACCTGACTGAGCAGAATAAATCCTATAAAGAATTCGCCAACGAGAGGGCACATTTATACAGCGAGTGTATAGTTAAATGTGGTTATGTCCAATGCACACAAGCGTTTACCGGAGGATGTTGTGTACGGCAATGGATAAGATAGTAAGGCACTTTATTTCTGACCACATAAGACATCATGACATTTTGCTGAACAACACGGAAGGATATCTGTCCTATTTTCGCGAGTTATTTTTACTTTTGTTCCAATGTCAATCTGCGTTGAATAACAAGAAACTGGACACGAACAAGGATAAAAGAAAATTAAGCAATTAAATTGATTTGTTTTCTAGCTACCGAGATTTGAATTTCGTGGCATAAGCCCTACGAAAAAGAGATCACATCACCTGATCCTCCTTGTCAAAAATCATACTTACTCACCCCCTGTTTGTAGGCTTCTCTCGCATTATCCAAATGATTTAACTCTTGGTGTATCTGTCCCTTCATCATCCATAGCTTTAAAATAAAACGAAACATGTAAAATCAATTGAAAGTAAATATCGAGTTCACGACGGACAGTGTGAAAAATAGACATGACCTCATACACTTTTCCCGCCAAAACAAATACATGTAGAAAGAGGGCGGGGGGGNGATGGGGGACTCGTAAACTAGGGGAGCAGAAGGAAAAGACGAGGAGCCGCCTCCCGTTAAAAAAAGTCAACAACCGCCTTTTTCCTTTTAATTAACGTAGTCGTGGGAGTCCGCGTCGAGGATGCTAAAGTTCACCATCTACTCCTAATAGAAACTGGAGTTCAATTCCGAGGATATATTCAGGTTAATAAGTGGGGGTGGAGTGGGTGTGCAAATGAAGCAACAACTGGATACTAGCACAATCCCTTTGAGCCCGAACAAAGGTATACCCCCTCCCACCCAAACCAACAAAACAAAAGGAAAAGAAAGGTTCCATATGCCAGGACTGAACCTATGTCCTTCCACATACCCATCTTCCGCGTCTACACAGTCCAACGTCGTTAGCTCTTACCTTAGCAAAATCAGGATATTTCTGAACAGCTTCACCTAAGAGCTTCTCCGCCTAACAAATGAAAATAAAATGATATCACGTCAAAGAGAAACGCTAGAAACAGATGAAGCTTCCGCAGACTAAAATCAGTATTAAGGAAATACAAGAAAATACAGTTTTGTATTACGACCTTGATTAATTATCGTAACCTGCACTTATAAGCACCCCTCCCCCCCCCTCCCCCTCAGGTATAGGCTTATCCTCCTGTAAACAAAATATTTCTTCCGATTATAAGCTCCCCTATAGTCATCCCTCCCTCTTGTTCAAAATAAAATGAATTCGATGTAGTATGATTTTTTAAGTTTAATAACAACCAGTGCATGAAAAACGTATTTTGATCAACACTGCTGAACCTCAATTCGAAACGTTTTAATCCGCTTACAATCCCTCCTCCCCCCGTTTGTAAGCCCATCTAAAAGCCCTTACGAAGTTGTGTAAGCCCAGGGCTTTTAAGCGGAAGTCTACGTTAAGTTGCTAAGTAGCAATACCCATTGTATTCAATCGTGTCATTAAAATT